CTATCATGGTGGGAACTGTGGTGTGGTCTATCATGGTGGGAACTGTGTAGTCTATCATGGTGGGAACTGTGGTGCAGTCTACCGCAGTGGGAACTGTGGTGTGGTCATCGTGGTGGGAACTGTGGTGTGGCCTATCCTGGAGGCAGGACTGTGGGGTGGCTGGTCACGCTGTACCCAGTCAGGAAGAGAGGGAGTGCTGGAGCTCAGCCGCTGCTTCTTTTTATCTCGTCTGAGCCCCTGTCCAGCAAGTGGCGCCATTCGAATTTGGATCCTCCTACCCAGTTAACCCCCCACAGTCATACCCAAAGCTGAATATCCTAGGGGAATCAGATTGACAATGCTTAGCTACCAGTGTTAGATGAACAGGCCTCTTTGTTATTTGTTTGGTTTGAGGCAGGGTTTCACAGCCCACTCTGGCCAGGAACTTACTGTGTAGCTGGGGCTGTCCTTGAACTCCTTATTCTCATGCATCTCCCACGTTCTAGAGTTGCAGGCGAGTGACCAACAGAAATGTTCTGAAGTGCCAGATATCAGTAACTCCCACAATACTTCGCAGTGTTTGTGGAAATCATATACGGAGAACGCTTCCTATTTTGATGCAACCTCCACAAAGCACACTGAAGGATGAGGCAAAAGCAGGGATGGCGTAAAGATGGCAGCTAACGACTGATCACTTACGACTGATGGATTGTTGATACTATTATTGACCGATGTAGGAGTGCTTCATCAGCACTCACTGGACGAGCCAGCCTTCTGAGGCAAGCATTGTCCGTCCTCACATCTCACTGCAAGGGAAGCAGAACCAAGAGGCTCTCAGGGCTGACACTGAGCCCTCCAGGCTCAGGTGGAGAGTGACTGGGGCAGACACCCAAGACTGAAGTCTGGTTTTCACATGCGTGTGCGTCTGCTAGGACAACCTTACTTGCATGGGCACCTGGACATAGAAATGAGAAGACGCCACAGCTTGGCCTGCCGGCAGGCCTGTGGGCCATTTTCCTGGTTAAATGATTGATGTGGGTGGGGCAGCTCCCTGGGGTTAGTGGCTTCCCTGGGCTTCTGCTTCACTTCCTGCCTTGAGTTCCTGCCTTGACCGCCCTAGTGACCTGAAAGTTGAAACATGAAAACAACTCTCTCCTTGGCAAGTTGCTTTTGGCCATGGGGTCTTACCCTACCAGTAGAAACCCAGCAACAGTACATGCTGCAAACAAGCGCTTGGCTTCTCTCTGCAGAGTCCTCCATACGCCCTTAAATCCTAGGCTTGAACGTGGAACCCATCTGCTCCGGCCTCTGGAGAAGCCAGGAATTGGGGTCCGTGAGGCCAGGCCCAGCTGGGAGCTGGGCAGGCAATATGAACCAGTGACTGCTTAGAGGTGGGCTGCTGGCTCAGCGTGATTTCTGTTAGAGTCCCGTGGAAAATCAAGCATTGCGTGTTGTTTGCTGGGCTGTCCTTGTCGCTGGGAACCCTGTTCTGTTTTCATACCAGCTTTCGTCTGTGCTTCTGGAATCCCTCTCGGCTCTATGACCACAGCCCCGATAGTGGCCTTCCTGGGCTGCATGAGACCCGGGCGAGTGTGGCACTGCTTGGGCCATCCTGAGCGGGAAATGAATGTCTGCTTTGGGTTCTGCCACTAACTTACTGACTTTAGCCTACGGGCCGCATTCTTCTCACTGCTGTAGAGAAACCATCTAAGGCAAAGGCGGAGTGAGAACCTTCTTGTGTACACAGCAGTGGTTAGTTTGGGACTCTGAGGGGACAGCAGGAAGTCAGACTCAGACATCTCAACCCATAGTAATTGTTTTATTGCTTATTGATTTCTCTTAACATCTTGGCTACGTAATTTCCTTTTGAATGAAGTTTCCAAACATTAAAATGACCATACAAAAGACAATGTAACATCCCCCAGGGAAATGGGACTGCTTCCTAGTGGCTTCAGGCTGTAATTTGTCCCAAATGCTGCTCCCTGGAGGTGTGTAGAACTGTGAATACCAGGTTTATCCATCTCTTGTGGGCCCTTGGCGGGGACCAGATCTGTAGATACCTGTCCTAGCACACCGCAGGTGCTAAAAGTAGCCCTTAAATGCTGCCTGGGTGCAACTGTCATCTCTGTCTAGAGTGGTCAACACCCTTGGACACAGCCGAAGTGCGCAGACTCGCTGGGGCCCTCATGGGCGTTGTTGCAATAGCCTTTGAACACAGTGGTGCACACCTGCGAGCTAGCACTTGGGAGGTGGAGGCAGGAGGATTCAAGGTCCATCTGCCTGCAAGCTGCACGGTGTCTTTGTGCTTAAGAGCTGAACAGTATCCCACAGTGTAAATGTATTCACAGTTTCTGTATCCATTCTTCGGTGGAGGAACATCTAGGCTGTTTCCAGTCTCTAGCTCTTACAAATAAAGCTGCTATGAACACAGTTGAGCAAGTGTCTTTGTGGTATATGCCCAGGAGTTGTATAGCTCGGTCTTGAGGTAAATCTTTTCCTAATTTTCTGAGAAAGTGCCAGATTGATTTCCAAAGTGGTTGTGCAAGTTTACATTCCCACCAGCAATGGAAGAGGGTTCCCCTTTCTCCACATCCTTTCCAGCATGTGCCGTCACTTGAATGTTTTATGTTAGCCATTCCTATGGGAATTAGATGAAATCTCAGGGTCCTTTTGATTTGCATTTCCCGGATGACTAAGGATATTGAGCATTTCTTTAAGTGCTTCTCAGCCATTCCTCTGTTGAGATTCCTCTGTTGAGAATTCTCTGCTTACCTCTGTACTCCATTTCTAATTGGGTTATTTGGTTTGTTGGTGTTTAACTTCTAGAGTTCTTTATATATTTTGGATATTAGCCCTCTGTCAGGTATAGAGTTGGTGAAGACCTTTTCCCATTCTATAGGCTGCTGTTTTGCAGGCAAATGGTGGGAACTAGAAAAGCTCATCCTGAGTGAGGTCACCCAGACCCAGAAAGACACACATGGTATGTGCTCACTTATAAAGAACAGGATAAACGTGCTACAATCCACAGACCCAAAGAAGCCAAGGAGGGCCCAGCGGAGGAGGCTTGAATCTCATTCAGAAGGGGAAATAAAATAGACTTGTGAAGTAGACGGAGGGAGGGGAAAGGGTGGGAGAGGGGTGGGGAGGGGATTGGGGGTAGGGATCAGTTGAGGGGAGAGTGGGAGGGTTGGGAGAGGGAGGAAGGGGAGAGAGAAAGGAAATCAGTGTTGGGGGACCATCTCTGAAACAGAGGAGGCTCCTGGGACTCTGTGGGGGTGACCCTAGCTGAGACTCCTAGCAGTGGGGGATATGGAGCCTGAAGCCGCCACCTCCTATAACAAGGTAGCACTTCCTGTGGAGGGAGCACACCCACAAAACCTTCAACCCCAAATTCGTCTTGCCTACTAAAAGTGCAAGGATAAAGAGGGAGCAGAGATTAAGGAAACAGCAAGCCAGTGGCCCAACTTGAGACCCATGGACCCATGGGAGAGAGCCAACCCCTGACACTGTTAATGAAATTCTGCCACACTTGCAGACAGGAGCCTGGCATAACTGTCCTCTGAGAGGCTTCAAGCTGATGGAAAGAAACAGATGCAGAGACCCACAGCCAAACAACAAGCAGAGCTCGGGGAGTCTTGTGGAGGAGTGGGAGGAAGGACTGAGGGAGCTGGAGGACACCACAAGAAGACCCACAAGCCAACTAACCTGGGCTCATGGGGGCTCACAGAGACTAAACCACCAAGCAAAGAGCACGCATGGGCTGGACTGACCCCTTACACACATGTAGCAGATGTGCAGCTTGGTCAACATGTGGGTCCCCTAACAATGGGAGCAGGGGCTGTCTCTGACTCTGTTGCCTGCCTTTGGACCCCTTTCCCCTAGCTGGGCTGCCTTGTCTGGCCCCGGTGGGAGAGAATGAGCTTAGGCCTGCTGTGACTTGAGGTGCTAGGGTGGGTTGTACCCCTTGAGGGCCTCCCCCTCTCTGAGAAGAGGGGACAGGAGGAAGGGGTGTGAGGGTGGGACTGGAAGGAGAGGAGGGAGAGGGTTGGGATCAGGCTGTAAAGTAGTGAGAGAAAGGAAGGAAGGAAGGAAGGAAGGAAGGAAGGAAGGAAGGAAGGAAGGAAGGAAGGAAGGAAGGAAGGAAGGAAGGAAGGAGAGAAAAAAGAATAGTAAAATAAAATCTTTTTAAAAAATTCAAGGTCATGTGTGGATAAGCAGTAAGTTTGAACCGAGCCTGGACTGCATGAGACTGTCTCAAGTGAGGCCAAACAGCTTTTCAAAACAACCAGGAGGGGTGTCACAGTTAGCCCAACCTCTTACGAACGATTCATTGTTAAATTTTGATTATTTAGTAATTATTATTATCGTGTGCAGCTGTGTATGATGTGAGTGTCAGATGCGCAGAGGTCAGGGATTCAACTTTGAGTTCTTTTTCCACCGTGGGTTCTGGGGCTCAAAGTCGGTCTGCAGCTGGCCTGCCAATCGTCCAACGGGCCAGGAGCAAGTACCTCGGTAAGAAAAACTGTGGGTTTTTGTTTTTTTTCTTTTCTGTTTTCTTATTTTTTTTCACTGCTCCTTTTGTTCTTTCTTCCTTCCCTCCTTTCTTCCTTTCCTTCCTCCCTTCCTCACTTGTCAGTTGAATTACAGATTTTTTTAAAAAGCACAATTTCAAAAACAAAACAAAACAAAAAAGCACAATTTAACTTTTGTCGGTGGCTCCTCAGCTTTTGGGATCTCCGAATCCATTTTGTTGTCAGTGGTATTTTAATTAAACACAGCCGGTTTCAGCGTTGCCTTGCACTCGGTCCTGGAAACCAAAAGCAAAGCAGGCTGCCATTCCCATCACCCGGGCCCTAGGCTCCAGGTCCCCGCGCGTTGGCAGTTGGCGACCCCCCTCGGGTCCCCCTCGTCGGCTCGTGGCCTAAGAGTGTTTTCCACTTTTGCTCAGCCCAGGCTCAGCAGACCAGACAGGCCCAGCTCCACGGCCCAGCGCAGCCACCACCAGCCAGAACATGGGACGCAAGTCGGGCCCCGGGGCGCCCGAGAGCACGGAGGAGGAGGCGCGGACCTGCTGCGGCTGCCGCTTCCCGCTGCTGCTGGCGCTCCTGCAGCTGGCGCTGGGCATCGCGGTGACCGTGCTGGGCTTCCTCATGGCGAGCATCAGCCCCTCCCTGCTAGTCAGAGACACTCCGTTCTGGGCTGGGATCATCGTAAGCATCGAGTCTGTTCTGCCTAAGCGCCGGCGGGCATGCCAAGCCGCACGGCGGAGTGGAGACTAACCCAGCTGCATGCGCCCCTCCCCAGCTGCGCCCCTCCCCAGCTGCACCCCTAACTGCTTGGGGGCTGACTGTGGGTACTCGGGGGCTCCCCGCCGCGAGGCTGGACTCGGGATTCCGGCCTTCTCCTGCCTGAGGCTTCTTGCCCCTCCGAGGGCCCTGCTGTCATCTTGCACAGCCTCAAAGACAACCGCAGGCCCGCCGTGGGGCCCAGTCCCCAGGCCCCGTGTCTGCATGAGCAGCACAAAGCGAAGCTCATCTTGGGGGAAGCAGGGTGGCAGACCCTGGGCCCGGGGGTGACACACTGCCTTGTAGGGCGCGTGAAATGGCATTCTAAGGCAGGGACTGAGAGTCAACAAACAGAAGTTTGATTCAGGGTCAGGCGGCCGGAGCTTGCGGCTGCAGCACAGTGCGTTTGGGACAGTCCTAATGTCGGACGCAGCGTTCTGAGTTGCTGTGTCAAAGCTTTAAGGTAAAACAGACCGGGCTTCCTCAGTGCCCTCCACATCTCGGGACAGTCCTCAAGTTAGAGCAGCCAGGCTGGCCCCGCCCAAGGTCATGAGGCAGCCCCACTGGCTTCTTTGTAGCACACTCTGGCTCGCCGTTTTAATGCCAAATTATCTAAAGCCAAACGGTGGGGATTGCCATTCCTTTCTGGACGGGAGGAAGCCTGCTAAGATAAAGTGAATGGCACTCTCGGGCCCAGAACGGAGACGTGGCCATGGGCACGGCCCTTCCGCCCTCCAGCTCGTCTTACTGGCTGCCCAGAGAAACCCCCAACAGAGTTTCGGATGGGACAGAACGTGAAGATGCCTGATCCATATGCATGGGTGTAGATATTTTTATATTAAGATTATTCAAACTCATAAGTCTTTGCAGAGTGATTTAAAATGTTTAATTTGTGTACTGAGAATTCCCTTGAAATTATCGTGATTGGAGTTTTCTAAGCCAAATGATTTTAAAAATAACCTCTCACTTAGACATACTGGATATTTTAGTCACCTCAGTGGCTGTCAACATAACTCTGGGGGGGAATGTCTGTCCTTGAAGACAAGGCCAGAGGAAAGAGCAAGGAGTGAAACTGGCTTTGAATACCAGCTTTTACTCCAACTCCAAAAAGACCAGTTCCAAAAAAATGAGTTAGATAGGGACAGAACTGTTGTAATGTTTAAGGCGCACAAATCCCAAAGCTCTGTGAGTCAGTTGCTCCCGTGGTGTTTGCTGCTCCGAACGGCTTTCTGGGCGTGGCTCAGAGGCCGGTCTACACAGCTCACCCATAGCATGTGGGCCTGCTTGGCTTCTCTTTCAGCGGAGACCCTGGCAGGAGAGCGCGTCCAGCAGAGATGTCCCCAGCCTCCCGAGGGAGGCCAGCCCCGCTCAGTGTGTCCCTGCCTCTCAGACACAGGAGCCCTGTGCTGGCCTGACCATTCTGAGTGTGGGTGGTCTCTTCCAAGCTGCCCGGGAGGAGAGACAGGAGGCAGGCGGTGACGGCAGGTGTGTAAACACCGCACCTGGTGTTGAGCCCTGGCTCAAACAGTGTTTGCCCAATAACTGTGGGCAGGTTACTTAATGCCTCAGGTTTTCAGTTCGGGGAGCCTTGGGGTTTGTGTGTCTGTCTGTCTGTCTGTCTGTGTTAGCGCTGGCATGCTCTCTGTCTG